AAATCAACAAGACAAAAAACTTGCAGAAGTGTACTTTGGCCCTATATATATTTTGTTAGTGACATTTGTGGCACAGAAACACACTTCAAATAAAACGATTTTTGTAGTTGTTTTCAGTTTTCGAAACAACGTCCAGCGGCATGCCACGTTGGAAGTGTCTCAAGAGACAGTGAAGGTCTGTTGTTACCAACTTGCCTGGTAAACAGATATATAAAACACCCTCTTCCCAGATGTGAGGGCTAGCTGTGAGACGCAGAGGGAGACTATGGGGATGATGATGAATGGGGTCTATAAACCACGAACCACTTCCTGCTGTACTTTGGAGCTCACCTGTTTCTGCTTAATGGGGGAAAAAACTGCTGCTCTTTTTCAGCACCGGCTCGCACGCGGAACCGTTCACAAAGGATGTTTCTAACTAACAGGAAGTCATTGCCCGCACACACGTCTTTGATCCCTCGCCATCGTGCACAAGGATGCGTGTCTCGGACTGAGAGATTCAATACATGGCCATTCTCTATCATTTGTTTGTAGCTGATAGCGAGAGTAGTTGCAGATGTTTGGTAAATGCCATGTCAAAAATTGTGAATGCACAGTTAAAGCTGCTGTTCTAAAATGATAAACATAAACCATGAAGTTAAGTAATAATGATTTATTAATCTTAACATTGTTATTTTATACACACTATAAAGTTTAAGTCTTAAACTCAGCTAAATGCTAACACTTATATGTTAACGCAAAGAGTTTATGACAAACTGATTTTATTGTGTGTCTCAATACTGCTGTAATGTCTTCATTATCAGTGAAGTATATACTTTCAGTTTCCAAATTAGCATGCAGCTTTCCGTCAGGTGGCTGTGTTCATTATCGATTGTGATCAAGCAGTCAAACGATTGTGGGTGAGGGTCTGGCGGAGCAGTATCGATGGGAAGAGGGCTAACATTCGAACTCTCCCTTTTTCCCAGACACACACCAGACATGTTCAGTACATCCCCACTTTACTTTCCATTTCCCCAACCTTTAAAACGCTTTCCCTGCCAGCTGTAATTATGAGCTCAAGCCATGAAGTTACAGGCTGCACTGTATGTCTCACTTACAACTGCATCAATTACAGCTTCTCATAAAACACTGTAATTAAATAACTTCATACTATTTGCTATTTGGTTTAGTTTTATTACTGATCTATGTTATATTTCTGATTTAAGTGTATTCTATTTAATTTCTACTTTATGTAGAATATTGTACTTTTAAAAGTAATTAAAAAATATATATTTTTATCGGTGCATTAAAACATTTCAGTTCTAATTTTAAATAAATTTTTGTTTGGAATACCAATGAATTCTGTGATTAAATCTTTACATTTAAAGTGATTTATACTATGTTCTCTTCAAATTGGTGCCAATGCGATGCTGTCTAAGCTGTAACAACCTTTAATGTATTATTTAATGGAAAACCATTTTTTATGAAATGTGCTAATACCCAAAAGAATTATACTGTAGCTTCTGGTGATTTAGCTTTCAATGCAACTAGATACATACATATACAGCATAAACATACACTGTGTTCAAATGTTTGTGGTCAGTACATAAAAAAAAAAAAAAACTTTTATACTTATGCATTAGATTGATCAAAATGACAGTAAAGACATTTCTATTGTTACAAAATATTTCTATTTCAGATAAATGCTGTTCTTTTGAACTTTCTATTCATCAACTAATCCTGAAAAATCCTCTAAAATGTTTCCACAAAAACATTAAGCAGCACTGCTGTTTTCAGCATTGATTAAAATGTTTCTTGAGCACCAAATCAGCATACTAGAATGATTTTTGAAGGATCATGTGACAGTGAAGACTGAAGTTACACATTTTATTTACATTTAAAAGACATTTTAAATGCTTAAAATGAGAAAACATCCATTTTAGATTGTATTAATATTTCACAATTTTACAGTTTTTTCCCTGTATTTTTGATCAAATAAAGGCAGCCTGGGTGAGCATAAGAGACTTCTTTCAAAAACATAAAAAAAAATCATACTCACCCATTTTGCATGTAAATGCATAAACTTAAGTTGCAACTGAGTTAAAAATGTAACTACAGTTTACTTTGTGGTCTTCATTTAGTTGTTAGATTTTATTTATTTTTTGTCTACAAGAGTCTTGAAATGTGACCTTTTTTTCCAATGTCAATAAATATTTATTTAGTTAGTTACAGTTTCAGTTAACATTTGTCCAGTTTTCTCTTTTGGCCCAAAAAATTAAAAATGCAATTTTTTTCTGAAAATTATGTTGCTCCCCAACTTTTTTCAGTAACATCCTGATCTCTTATACAAATGTTGCACTCCTTTCTTATTGCTTTACTACTTTACTCTGCACAGAGCTAAAAGTGCATGTCGCGATGTATACGCAGCTGTTTAGGCCATCGACTGCATGACAGAGGAAGAATTTCCAACTGTATATCAATGAACAGATTGATGTGTTTGCATCGACCAATGGTTTGAAATCTATACCCGGTATGTTAAGACAGAAGGTGTGATGATGTCTTTTAAAAGAGCAAGCCGGAAGGCTTAATCAATGCACTTCTTTCACCTGCCAAGACTTCGGAGGTTTCTTTGCTCATTATAAACTACGTGTGTGTCCATGTCTGTAAACACAGGTGTGTGGATAAAGCTGTTACCCAGTGTCCATGGTGTGTATGCATTATTATTATGATGCTGCTGTGGGTACCATGCCACTCCAGGGACCGAGACTTGAGAGGCCCCCTTAAAATACCGTGCAATAATTGGAATTGCTTTATCTTTAGTCTAATCAATTAATGTGCAATTTTCCATTTAATTACCAACTCGCTCACAAAATTTGCAATTAAAATGAGGCGAGATAACAGCGAAGATGCCTTTCGGCTGATAGCACTTGGAATGAGAACACAGGCGTTGTGTGTAATCAGTATACAAATCACACACACACAACGTTCTCAATTTGTATGATTTGGACGAGCTTCATAAAATATGCAACGCCAAGCCAGAATCTAATTTGTGCTTGGAAAATTCCTCACGTTTCCACGAAGTCCAACATGAAATGGTCCGAGCGCAGAGGTGCTGATGGTGTTTATGATCATGATAACCCAAAACCGTGTGTGTGTATATGTGTGTGATCTCCTTAAAATAGCTGCTTGGTTTGTCTTGGCCCCTTTGACCATTTTCCACACACTCCTGCCAACCTGAAGATGAGCTACGAGGGAAAAAATTATCTTTCCTGTTTTCCCGTTCAAACCGTTGTCTGTCTGCTGTCTGAGGAAGTTTACATCCTGTCCACTGCCTGACAGACTTGGCTTCTGTACTGTATTCTGCTCTGTGTCTCCTTGATTTTCCCACAATCCTCTTGACAATCCTCTTGTTCTGCAGTCCACAGAATTATTGCTGCAAACTTTGATACAAACAACTGGAAAATGCTCATATGCACCCATTTATAAAAACTTTCTGTATCTTTAAGATTTCAAGCTGTTAAGCTATAGACAGAGCTAACAAGCTGCTCTCAATAGAGAAAATTACTACTACTAAAGCACAGAAAGAACTTTATAGGTCATGTTTTAAATGAATGATTTATGTCTTGTGTAATTACCGAACAGAGCAGAGGTCCCACCCACATTAACTCGGCAGATGTGATTGTACTGTTTTTTCAGAGTAATTATATATGATTGCTTATGTATTTTTAGTATTCTTTGTGATAGCTTCTGCTTCTTACATCTGTGGGCATCTACTAAAAGCCTGGAGCTCAATGGTGGACTGAAGACCGTGTTTTGAGGGGTCAAACTGTCTGAAATGATCATTTTAAAGATTTGGGTGTGATTTCATGAGGTTCTGTAACGAAAATTGAACAAAAGACTAGTTTAACAGTGAATAGTTTCATATGCTTACGGCTATCGTCTTCTGTTTGGATGGCACTAAATCTATTTTGAATGCACTTAGATGGGAAAATCAATATGAGACAGAACATTATCCAACATTCAAAGATGTTTATGGTAATAGACTTGGTAAGAGCATATATAACTTGAAAAGAAATAAGAAAGTTAGTGTTGCATTTATTTATTTAAGAATTCAAACAAAAAACTTTTATTTGAAACAAAAGTGCAACTCAAGTGTACATTTTTATGACATTTCAAAATGTGAGCAAAGAGTAGAGAAGATTTGTGTTATACTTGATAAAACCTAACTTAGAAATGGGGTTCAGGGGTCCATGTGCAGTAACATGGGGCCAATTATCTGTAGTCTGGGTTAACCACAGTGCACCCTCCCTGGAGTCCACCCTTCCCTTGTCCAGTGTCAATTACTCTTCTGACAGAAGAGCTAATGAGCCCCTGATTGGCCTGCTGGGCTTGTCATGTTTACCTTAGAAAACACTAACTCATCATGTACCTGCACCTCAAGGTGCTTATTTGGTTTTCTGGATAGATGTACTGCTAACCATTTTTATTGGGTTGATGGCAATGTGTTAGATTGTTTTGTTCGAATTTGTTACTAATGTATTGGATTTAGTGACATTATTCATATAAAATAATATTGTAATATTGTAAATAAAAAATATAAAAATTTTAATGTCTGTACAGTATTGCATTAAATGGACAATCTGGGCATTTTATATTTAAAAAATGTTGGCTTAAGATTTGTAGTCGATAGGGCTTCAATTACAAATTTGTATGCAAACATTGATGTAATCCGTGGCCTCAAAGTGATTTTATTTTATTTTTAATTTGATTTGATTTTATGTATTACCGTTGTATGGAAGTAATTTTTTGTGAGTTAAAGTACAGCAGCACCTAGTGGTATGTCATGGAATTGTTTCAGTAAAGAACTGAGGAAAGCTGCAATTATATATTAAATATTATGCAATTTGTTATAAAAGATAAAAAGCACAATTATTTTCCTTTTGATAAGTATGCCAGTAGATATGAATTTGGTCGTCAAACAGTGCTGTAAATAATCTTGTATGCCACTGTTGTGTTTCCTTCAGGATCTCCATGTGAAGCTATCCCATGATGCAACATGTGTCCCCAGCACCAGCATTGACCATGATGGCCACACAGAGTGTCCCTCCACCATCGTACCAGGAGAGCCAACAGGTCAGTTAACAACTGTTTTTTTGTTTGTTTGTTTGTTTTTTTTGATTATATATGGATTATTGTTGTAATAAAGATAATAAACTGATCACTCACCTCAGTAGCTGCATAATACACTAAATAGTAATAATAATAAAAGCATTCCAGCCTAACCAGATTTGGAAACCAAAGAAAAAGGCCAAGACTACAGAATGCAGTAAAAGCAGAACTTATTTATTTTACAATTTAAAAACTCTTTTCTGTTTGAATATATTTTAAAATGTAATTTATTTCTGTGATGGCAAAGCTGAATTTTCAGCTGTCATTACTACAGTCATTAGATCCTCCAGAAATCATTCTAATATGCAGATTTGGTGCTCATGGAACATTTCTTATTATTATCAATGTTGAAAACAGATTTGCTGCTTAATATTTTTGTGGAAATCATGATACATTTTTATTTAGGTTCCATTAATGAACAGAAAGTCTTTCTTGCTTTCTTTCTTGCTCTCTTGCTTTCAAAAATAAATAAAAAAACTCCAAACCTTTGTAACTGTAGCGTTTATGTATGCGAAAGTATGAAAGTTGTGTTCCTTTATTTTAGTTATTTTTTCCCAGTGAATATTATGTAGGTACCTGTACACCATTGTTCCATCAGATATAAATAATGCAGTTTTATAGTTATTTGAAACCCTCATAACATATTGATCTAAATACAAGCATACAGACTAGACGCTTGATTTGGATAGCAACACGCCTGCATAAGTCATATTTCCTCGTTTATTCATGAAATAAATAAAACATGGCACACTGACACTTTAAATACTTAAAGCCTCATTCCCAAACCTTGCCTCCCCGGTTGATTACAGCGCGTCTGTTTGCGAGCTGCATGCATATCGTAGCATCGGCGGTTCTTGTCTGAAGGCAGCCGTGAGGGCTCGTTCGACCGGCTGCAGCGCTGGCTATGATTAGCGGTGTCTCGCGACGGCGTGGCAGAGGCCCGTGGTTTCACGCTAACCCCTGAGGCAGGTCTGTGAAGGCCTGGGCAGGCCTGGGGCTCAGTCTCTCAGCTCCTCAGAGAGAGAAAGCTGCCTTTGATGTGAGCAGCCAGCCGGGGGCGGCCTGCAGGCGGTGTGAAAAAAAGCCTAGACTCAGCCTACATTCACACTATGTACACACACACACACACACACACACACAGTGTCTGCTCCTACTTCCCCATCGTTTCTAGTCACATATACTCAAGCACAGACTCAGCTTCTCACTTATAAATCTCACCACCTCCTTCTCTCTCTCTCTCTCTCTCTCTCTCACACACAAGCATATTTCTGGTTTCATCCTACATGACACATCTTAAGTGCTCTAAATATTCAAAGGCGCAGCAGAGAGCCATCACTCATAACTTGTTCTGATTCTCATCCAAACGCACACCGGCACAATGAAAGAGCACTGGTGAGGTAGAAACCAAAGAGATTTCTATTAAACCTGACATCTCGTACTGTGAAGTGTCTTATGCAATTTAAGTGCAAATATCCAATAAGTGCAATTTAGGTATACTGTGTATAAAGAAGAAATGCATTGTTTAGTAAATGTAAATTTTGCTACTTTGTATTTATTTAGTTGTTTCATAATATATGCAAATCTAGGGATTTCTCATAATTGCAGAGTCAGTGTTATATTAGCCAAGCAACCATGCATACATGTTTTTCTCGTTCTATTGTTAGAACGAGAAAAAAGGTGACAAAACTGTTTATATATTCATTATTTTTCTAAATAAATGGAGAGCATGAAGCTGACTTTGATGGCATTTCAGTCTGGTAGAGTGTGGCGCTTGCAACATCAAAGTTATGAGTTTGATTCCCAGGAAAAACGTACTGATAAAATGTGTAAGTGAATATAAGTAGCTTTGGATGTTTGTCACCTCCACTTCATTCATTTACCAAATTTGCATTATACACTTTCATTCAAAAGTTTGGGGTCAGTTTTTTTTTTTTAAATAAATTATTAATTTCATTAAATTCATTAAATTGATCAGAGAAGACAGTAAAAAACATTTGCATTTATTTTAAAGAAATGCTGTTTTTTTGTTTTGTTTTATTTTGTTTTTACTTTCCATTCATCGAAATGTACCATGTTTTCCACAAAGACTGTCTTCAACATTGATAATAATGTTTCTTGAACATCAAAACAGCATATTAAAATGATTTCTGAAGGATCATGTGACACTGAAGACTAGAGTAATGGCTGCTGAAAATTCAGCTTTGCCATCACAGGAATAAATGACATTTTATATATATTTAAATAGAAAACAGTTATTTTAAATTGTAATAATGTTTCACAATATTACTGTTTTCCACTCTTTTTTTTTGATCATACAGTATAGATCCCTCACCTTTCTCAGGATCATTGATACTCCACGAGGCGAGATCTTGCATGGAGCCCCAGTTCGAGGGAGATTGACTGTCATCTTGAATTTCTTCCATTTTCTAATAATTGTGCCAACAATTGTTGCCTTCTCACCAAGCTGTTTGCCTATTTTCCTGTAGCCCATCCCAGCCTTGTGCAGGTCTACAATTTTGTCCCTGGTGTCCTTAGACAGCTCTTTGGTCTTGCCCATAGTGGAGAGGTTGGAGTCTGATTGATTGAGTGTGTGGACCGGTGTCTTTTATACAGGTAACAAGTTCAAACAGGTGCAATTAATACAGGTAATGAGTGGAGGATAGGAGGGCTTCTTAAAGACAAACTAACAGGTCTGTGAGAGCTAGAATTCTTGCTGGTTGGTAGGTGATCAAATACTTATTTCATGCAATAAAATGGAAATTAATTATTTAAAAATCATACAATGTGATTTTCTGGATTTTTACCTACGATGAAAATTACAGATCTCTCCATTCTTTGTAAGTGGGAAAACTTGAAAAATCAGCAGTGTATCAAATACTTATTTGCCCCACTGTATATGCAACCTTGCTGAGCATTACAATTTCTTCCCGACCCCATACTTTTGAATATGAATGTGTATTTTTTAACAGTATATTTGCTCTGCATTTGTTATGTTGAGAAGAAAGCAACATGATATCTCACCCCCAAAACTATTGTAGGTATTTAACAGAGCAGAATGTTTCATGTATCTGTTTGTATATATAGTGCATCCTCATGTACTGTTTTGATTCAATTTGGCAGGTTGGTGTTTATTTCTGCACCTCTCGTTTCTCTAATTGCCGGTATTGCGAGTTTGAGTTGTGGAGTCAATGCTCTGGTGTGCGTTGCTTAATTATTAACAGTGGAATAAATGTGCGATACAGTAATTATCTTAACGAGTTACTACACTCTCTTTTAAAGCATCTGAGACCTTCTCTTCTTATTACAAACGTGGCAGGGGGTCACTTTCCTGTGGGGTACTTGTGACATATCCAAAATTAGGTCCAATAAAATCCAGCATCCAAGAGATGAAATTGTAATATGTATCCGAAGAAGTTCCTGAGGGTGTCAAATTCAGCACTATTCCACAATGATAAGTTTGATGAAACTAGGCATATGTATATAAAGTCAGGCTTTTAACATGTTTTCCAATCCTTCATTCTTCAGGCAAATGAATTATAATATCAACTCTAATTATTATAATATCAAAATTAAATAAATTAGACTTTTACTACAAGCAAATCAAATGTAATCAATATATTCATTATTTGTGTCCATTATAATCCATATTAAATCCTTCAAATTTAGACAACATTTCTTTGAAAAACTGTTTTGTGTGTACAGAATTTTATCCTGATGCCTTACGCCTCAGCTTCCATCTTTTGAAGTATTTGTGTTTATGTGTAGTGTTCAGACCCCCGTAGGTGTGGTTATATTAGGGTATTGAAATTCTGAATGGGGTTTATATGTGTCTTTCCCTTCTCACCGTGACTCAGATTGGCGGATGCTGAGTGGATTTGCATTGATACTGGATTTCAGTCTCATGGTGCACAGTCATGCTGTCTTCATTGAGCTCCAGTAGATCAGAAGTGTCTTGGACTGACGGAAGAGAGAGATAGAGAGAGAGAAAGAAGGAATACGAAACAGAAAAGAAGAAAAGGAAAAGGAAAGAGTTAGAGAACAGCTTTAGTAGACCCAGCAGTAGCAGCAGCGCATATCAGTCCCAACAGGAGTGCTTTTAATTTGACAGCCAGAGAGGAAATGGTGAGCCAGTTCTCCCCAGCCGCTGTAATGCACCATAAATTCTGTTTACATTCGCTGTTGGGAAGCTCTCACAGTCATTTGGTGCCCAACATCTTAACGATTCTCTCTCTCTTAGTAATGGTGCTGAGATTTCTGTACCATACAGAAGAAGTCATCTTATCTGAGCCATGGATTCATCCTGAGAGTGAGTCAGTCCTGATCATGAGTGTCAGGCTAAAGGATGTATATTTGAGATTGTTACTGGCAGATTATAGTAACTAGTACTCAAAATATCTCAGAAATCTCAGAGGGCACATTTATATCTGAGTAAGATTTTGTTCCTCAATTTAAAACCGTAGACGTCGAGTTTTATTCTGTTTCATCCTGGCTTGTGTCTTCAGGGTGCAGAGTGTTCTGAACTTCACAGACTGACTTTCTGAAGATTGAACGTGTGTGTTCGTGTTAGCAGAAGCTACTCAAGTCTGTGAATGAATCTAATACTTGTTAGTGGTGTTTGCTAAGGCAATATTATTGCTCAGGGCTGCTCAGATCTCTATAACTTTTGAACATTATTTCATAGAGACTTAGCAACCACCCAGAACACCTTAGCAACCACATAGCAATGATCTAAAAAACACCCTGACCAGCCTAGAAACTACATACAGTTGCAATGTCCTATCAACCACCCAGGTCGGTATAGCAGGACTATAAAAAAATCAGCCAAAACACCCTAGCAACCACATAACATTTTACAAAGCATCCAGCCCAGTCAAGAAATGCATACAATAGCAGTGCCCTAGAAATCACACAAAATACCCTAGCCCAACCACCGAAATACTGAGAACCATAGCAGCTGTATAACAACACACTGGCAACCACATACCAACACCCTAGCAACTACTCGGAACACCATAACAAACACATAGAAAGCCTGATACAGTAGCAACACTCTGGAAAACCACCTAGATCACCATATTAACTGCATGGCAAAAAAACACCCGAATCAACCTAGCAACCACATTGCAACACTTTACAAATCACCCAGACTATCCTAGCAATCGCATACAGTAGCAGAGCCCTAGCAACCATGCAAAACAACCTAGCAATCACATAGCAACACTCTACTTAGTCTCAGCCTCAGACATCACGCCCATGTACCGTTGGCTGAACGTCTGATGCATACAGCACACAAAATTGGAAACACTTCGGGAGTTTTGAAGTCGTCGTCTGATTGGTTGAATTATACAGGATTTCCGGGAGACACGTGTGTTGCGTTCTTTAACGTTCCGCCTGGAAACAAAGATGCCGTGACTCCAAACCCCCTCATGTTAGAAGAAAGCTGTCATGTTTACAATTGTGACAATGAGCACTTATCAGGATCAACTAAATAGCTGGAAGTATGTGAAATATTTAAAGTTCGCGGCATAGAATCTTTAAAATACGTCCAAGAGTTTTACACATGGTCTGTTATTGTGGGGACATTTCCACGCCCCTAAACATGACGCGGCACAAAACGAAACATGATTGGTTGCTTTACCTGTCAGTCATATGGCCTCTTGGGCGGTCCTTGCCATTCAAAGCGGCCAAGGTTCCCAGACCTTCTGCCATCAGTCTGAAGGCAACGCGAGACTACACTCTACTCAGAACCCTTTAGTTACCTTATAGCAACATCCTGGCAACCACATACCAAAGTCTTAGAAACTACAGAAAGCCCTAGCAACCACATAGCAACACCCTACAAACCACCCAGACCAGTCTAGCAACCACATGCAGTAGTAACGCCTTAGCAACCAAACAAAATAGCCTAGCAAACACATAGCAACAGTCAAAAAACTAGTCAGAACCCTCTAGCAACCATAAAGCAACATCCTGGCAACTACATACCAATGTTTTACAACCTACCTAGGACACCGTAGCAACTTCATAGCAACACCCTACACCCTACATTCCATCGTTACCAATAGACTTCAATGGAACTTGCGACCATAGTTAGCTAAAGATGCATTTGGGAAAAGCACCCCAGCCTAGCAACCACACACAGTTGCAGTACCCTTGCAATCACATAGAAACACTCTAAAACTACTCAGAACTCCTTACCAACCATATAGCAACACCCTGGCAACTACATTCCAATGCTCTAGAAACACACTAGCAACTACATAGCAACACAAACCAATTTGAACACCTTAGCAGCTACAATTTTTTTTCTTTTTGATTACTTTTATGTGGCATCTCTGTATTTAACCTCTAAATTCACACCTGTGGTCCAATGATAAGAGCCAGCTGTGTATAACAACAGGGTGCAGCTAGCCTTTACCACACAAGTGAAAGAGAGAGCGGTAAAAACAGTGTTGAAAAAGAGCACCACCACTCATTGAAATGCAGCAGTAGGGGTCCCATATAAACCCTGATGGCGAGTGGTGTGTGTGTGTGCTCGCCCTCATTAAGGCTGAGCTCCAGACATGTAGCCTGGAGGAGGGAGTGTGTGTTCATGTGAATGTGTGTGTGTGTGTGTGTGTGTGTGTGAGTGTGTGAGCACTCTCAGCGTGAGGGCACCCCAGACTGGGTTTAATAAAGGCAGCAGCCACTGGCTCGCCCTGATTAGGATGGTAAAAATACCGGGTGAGCACACAGAGAGCACACCCCCATCTCCCCAGCAGCCCATGGGTGGCCCACCACGCTACCAAAACAAATGCAGCTAGAGCTAGCATGAAAATACGTTCAGCTTTATTTTTGGACTCATAATTGCTTTGATGTGCTTTTCATTTTCTCTGAAAATATTTATTTATTTGCTTGAGACCTCTACACTGAAATATTCATGACAAATTCAGCTTGAAATAAAAAAACAGGTAAACCCAATTAGGTTAAGCTTTAAGTTTTTCATTAGCTGACAGTATGAAACCTAGTATTGGCCGAATGGAAATAAAAACGCCATGTCTGACTTTATTTGTCAGTTCGCTGGATCAGTTCTGCTGACTCTTATCTCAGTAAATGACACTTTTATGGGTTAATAGTTCCCCAGCTCCCTCCGTCCTGAGACCTCTGCACTGCAGATAACGTCTCACTGTTCTGGCACCTTACCAGCTCTAGGTACCTCATGTAGTTTCAGGAGCGTACAGACGCAGTGTTAGATGAGATGAATGTCTCAATGTAAAGTGCAGAATTACAATTATAAACTGATTATTTAAATGTAGTGCGTCCAGCATAATTTTTTACAAAAAAATTTAATTAATAATTTTACACATTGAGATTTTTCTATAATTTAGTTTTTTGTTATTTCAAACCTTAAGTACACAATTGGTTATTTTAAGTCTCGTGTTTGTAAGTCTTCATGTAACTATTCATTTCATTACCCGTGAATTGCACTACTAGTGTGTTTTTTTAAAAACCTTTTCATTCATAATTTACATTTCATATTTTCTACAAGCTGAAGTACACAGTTCTCTGTTTGTTTTGATGTCGAATTGCAGTTCAGTAAGTGAGCCGGATGGTAATTTGGTTACCACAAATTATTTTTGACCAATTCATTTCATTACAAGAACCTACTCATACAAATAATTTGTTTGTGAATTGAACTGTGAATTGAATTGTTTTTAAGTATGTAGAAAAAAAGATGTCATGATTAAATGATCTGATGAGTGGTCCTGAATTCAAAGTGGCTAAACCTTCTTTTTTTTTTTTTTTTCAAATTATATACACATTTATAGGAGTTTGTGAGTCTTCATCAAAGTTTTGTTTCATTAAAACCACCTGCTCATAAGTCATTTGTTTGTGATTTGAACTGCTGGTCTGTTTGTTTTTGAAACTTTTTTCATTCATAATTTAAAACCAAATTACCCAGTTCTCTATTTATTTTGAAGCCATACTGCATTTCAGTAAGTGATTCAGGTGTTAATTCACTTACTACTCTGACAGATTCGTAGATTCAATTAGACAACTCTTTAGTTTGCAAGTCTTTTCATTACAAGAGCCTGCTCATACAAATCATTTGTTTGTGAATGGAAATACAATAGTCTGTTTTATGCTTAGCTAGCAAAGAGAAAAAGATGTTGAAGGAAGACGTGTCATAATTTGGATTATCTGATGAGTGGTCTTGAATTCAAAGTGGCTGAAGTTTAGTTTTTCTTATGTGTTTTGTTTGTTTTCTCAAACCTTAAAGGGGTAGTCCATCCAAAAATAAAAATTCTGTCATTATTTACTCACCCTCATGTCTTTCCAAACCTATATGACTTTCTTTCCTCTGCAGGGAAAAAAAAATCAAGAACATTTCCATTAACTTCCATTGTATTTCAGTCCATACATTGGAAGTCAATAAGAAACAAACTGTATTAATTGCAAGAACCTGCTCTTAGGAATTATTTGTTTGTGATTTGAATTACACTAGTACACTAGTATGCACACATGTCTGTATTATCTGATGAGTGAATTCAAAGTGGCTAAAGTTTGGTTTTAGTGTTTAATGACATTAGTACTTCATAACAACTGTTTGCCTATCATAAAATGTAAAAGTCCTTTTAATGGCCCCTCTGCTTACAGTTATACGAGCCCATTCTTTCACCTTTGAGGGATGGCAGTCTGGACAGTCTTTCCCGAAAGAGTTGAGAGATGATAACTAAAGGTTAAAGACAAATAGCATTAAGTGTTTCATTTTAACCGGCACATTTTGAAAGATTAACCGATTAGCTTGGAACTTTGCGGCACACAGCCTCATCCAGAACGCATAGATGAAGAGATTTAAAAGTCTGGAGTTGCTCCGAGAGATCAGATTACATTTAAGAGTTTTTCCAACCTCATTTAGCCTTTGAAACAACTGAGGCAATTAGTTTAGAGAGTAACTGCTGTAAGTGTTCTGGCCATCTTTAGTAACAGAGATTTTACTGCGATTGGCATGTTGTCTGAGATAATGCAATCAGAAATATTATGTTCAGAATAAGAGCTGCTTCATGTCCATCATCGCATCTGTATACAAGACATGACTGAAGTTTCCAAAAAATGTGCATAGTTTCTGCTGCAGATAAATGTTATGAAATATAACCTCCTCATGAAGATAATGCAGCATCATTAGACTCACTCCAGGGAATGTGAGTGTTCGGATGAACCTGTACCTTGTGGCTTAACTTTGCAATTCGATTTTATGCTCTAATTTCTGGGTAGTTTGTTCCTCAGCCTACTTGCCAAATCCTCTGAGAGCTAAATTGATAGCATCCTTTGGCTTTGGGCCTTTAGGGTTGTGTCCGGGTTATGATCCAGACCTGCGAAGAGAGAGAAGGGGAGAGATAACCCAGCCATGCCCTCCAGGATTTAGTGTGACTGGGGAGGGGAGAGAGGAAGAGGGGCTGGCACGGCAGAGGGGAGCGCGACGAGCCCGGAGGGAGCACAGATCGCCTCGCTGCTCAGCACTGCGAGCCTGTTTAGTATTCCTGTCACGTCAGCTGGAGGGAGCGGCATTAAATTGGGATCAGGCAGATTAGAGTCTAATATAGCCAGCTATTAAAGGCTGCAAATGAGAGTGGTGGGTTACAGCCGGAGCCTGGGCCCCTCACCCAGTCTCAAAGCCTCTCTCAGTCTCTCAAACATGCACCGCAAGGAAAAAAACAATACATATACACAGAAACACACATAGGATCGGATAGGTTAGGGCACTACTTTTTATACTATTTTGACAGTGTTTCTTGCATGCAACAACAAACACAGCACAAGCTAACATGTCAATTTGTGAATGAATGACTCTAATGAACAGCATCTTTTTTCAATTAAAAAGAGTCAATTAAAAAGATTTCAGAAAAGTTTTGATAAGTTATATTGTTTGAATCAGATTCACTCATTCAGTGAATTATTCAGTGTCATTACTGAGTTTGCAACTGATTCCCTCATTGAACATATTCAAAATGAACCAGGAATTGTTATTTGTGATTAAATATTTTTCTGTACTTTTTTCCCCACACTTTTCACCAAGGACACATTAAATTGATCAGAAGTGACAGTAACAACTCTTACATTCTTACAAAATATTTCAAATATCTGTTTCAATGCTACATTTTAAGCACCACAACTGTTAACATTGATAATAAACACCAGATTGACATATTAAAATAATTTCTAAAGGATCATGTGACACTGTGTACTGGAGTAATGACTTTTTTTAAACATATTAAAATAAAACAATATTACTGCACTGAAAAAAATGTTTCATTCATCCAATTAAAAAAATTTAGGGCAAGTTATTTATTTTTCATTGGCTCAAGTTAAAAAATATAGATGTGAATCATTACCCTAAATGTTTTTTATTGGATGAATGAAACATTTTTTTCAGTATGTTTGTACTGTATTTTTCACTTAAATAAATGCAGCCTTGGTGAGCATACATATACATTTTATAACAACCTGAAAATCTTACCCACCCCAAACTTATACACATATATACAAATAATATGACTTATTTTTTCAAGGTGGAAATATTGTTCCAAAACACAGTGACATTTATATGGTATCAATGCAATCAGGATCACTACTATGACAGCATCAAACGGGAACTAAACCACTTCTAAACAACCATCCTTATTGAGCAATTCTGCAATTTTGTCAACATAATTATTCCCCAAAATATTTTAATTTATGATCTTACTGCTCCTTAGTTTTGGTAGTGTCTGGATATGATGCATTATGATAGGACAGGACAGAGTCCTTATTGAAAAAGCATGACCCTTAATCATTTGTGGTGATGTTGTTTTCTTATTAATTTAATCAGAGTTCTGCATGTCAGGCTAGGCTTAGCTTTCAAGAGGCTGAGCTGAGTGAATTTTAGCTTTCATTAGGTCTGCTCTTCAGCAGAAACCTCTCTCTAGACAGACTTAAACCAGTGCAAACATATGAATTCTCTGATGATACAGGAAATGTTAATGCTGTTAACATGACAAATGTCAACTTGCTAGAAGAAACCTTTAGACGGAGCTTATGCCTACAATCAGATGAAGATGACAAAGATTATATTCAGCTGCTGGGTATTGTCATCTGTCCTGCCTGAAGCAAAGAAACTGGTTATTTTCTGGTTAACTTATTAAATACTGGTATACTGCTTATTACATACTGTGCAGTATATACTCTGAACTGATCCTACAGATCATGTGAAACATTATGGTGTATGAATGGATATACACTACCGTTTAAAAGTTTGGAGTTGGTAATTAAAAAACAAAAATTTCTGAAAGAAGTCTCTTATGCTCACCAAGGATGCATTTATTTGATCGAAAATATAGTAAAAACAGTGAAATATTGTTACAATTTAAAATAAGTGTGTTCTATTTTAATATATTTTAAAAGCTGAATTTTCAGGAGCCATTACTCCAGTCTTCAGTGTCACATGGAGTCTTTCTAAAATGCTGATTTGGTTCTCAAAAACATATTTCTTATTATTATCAGTGTTGAAAACAGTTGTGCTGCTTAATATGTTTGTTGAAACTATTGTACTTGTTTCAGGTTTCTTTCATGAATAGAAAGTTAAACAGAAATCTGAATCTTATCTGAAATAGAATTGTTTTGTATCAGTGTAAAAGTCTTTGATCACTTTTTAACAGTAGTGCATATTTCAAAAAGTAGTATTATACAGTGTCTTCACAACCTGTTGACGTAGATGTGTTGAATTGTGTCTATTGAATATAGCAATCTATTTATCTCTTTGGAAGTAAATAATTATTTAGAATTTTGAATCCAATTGTGTGTAAAAAAAAAAAATTGTTTGCTGTTTGATCAAGTAATTAGTCAAGAGGGAATGTAAAAAAAAAAACTTGATTTTGAAAGGATATGTCAAGCGCATGGCATTATGGGATGCAGTAATTCACTCAGTGTGCTGTAGTTGTACAGCTCTCATTTTGGCAAGTCATTTGGGACTTTTTACATTTGCATACTGTGCACAGTTTACTGCATATTCTGCATACTATAAAAAATAATAATAGTTTGCCATCTCTTTCTGTGTCTTGCAGGCATCCTCTTTTTCCTCTTCTGGCGTTGCTGTTTGAGAAGTGCGAACAAGCCACGCAGGGATCAGAATGCATCACCTCCGCCAGCTTTGACGTTGACATCGAGAACTTCGTCCACCAGCAAGAGCAGGACCACAAGCCTTTCTTCAGCGAGGACCCTGAACTAGACAACCTGGTTAGCGCTCATCAGGCTCTTGTTGCTTCATTTGTATCACTTGCCGTTCTTCTACTTTCAGCTCTTTACCTGCTCTTAAAAATCTGTTTACTTCTTTTATATCTAAATTAAACATCTGTACTACCCTCTGCTGGCATATTTGCACTTTATACATCTTTTAAGGTACTTTAATTATTCAAATATCATTAAAACAGGCTAGAAATGCGACATTAAATAACATTTTATTGAAAATAAGAAGTCAGAAGTATTAGTCACAATGACTCTCACCCACCCTTTGTCCATTGCTCTTTTTTCCGTCTTTTGTTCTCGTTTCCTTTAACTCTCCCCCTCATATTCATCATCTCTCCTCTTCTGTGCTCTGCAAGACAGTTAACAGTAATTAGAAATTAAGGGAAGGAGGAGGAAAAAGGTCACTGTTCATCATTACCGGGGCGCTCGGCCGACTAGTGCTGCTCAGTCAATTAACTCTGCATCTGTGTGCTTTACGACACACTGGTCACACATGGGTCTTCCGTTCTCTAACTCTTCACCGCGACAGTTATAGCGCCCGCGCTGCGCTTCGTTCTCGCCTCAGAGAGATGGCACTGGGCCCTGATTAAACGAGCTGCAGTAATTGGCAGATTTATCTCCTCCTTGGCAAAGCATTTTTTAGCCCATTTGGTCGTCCTTGAGTTCTGACTTTGGACGGTGAATGTTTGAATGGGCAGTTGGAACAGAAAGTTCAGTCTCGTCCAACTGTATCAGCAGAACTCGAAAATGTTTGTTGCATTAACAATGCAAGTAGGCAAATAGTGGCAAGGAGGGCTGGCTAGGGAACCTCAAAAACTGTGGGAAAAAAAGTGAGAAAAACACTTCTGCTTTTCTTTTTAGTGAAGTGATTGTAGTTTATTTAAAGGAATAATTAACTTACAATTGATTTTTTTATTTAATCACACCAATGTAGTTCAGATCCATATAATATTCTTTCTTGTCCTGGCTGCTCTTATTCATACTGTGAATGGTAAAAAAGCACTATGACAAAAGGTGCACAATGCAGTATTTAGGTCTTCAGATTATAGCTTAGTTTGAGGACCTGATAAAAAATTTTTTTTAAATGTAATTTAAAATAATATCTTTAAAAATTATTACCTGAAACAATGACATTGAAATGTATGTATTATTATCCTTTTATTTATGTATTTATTTGTTTGTTTATTTGTTTATTTATTTTAAATGCCAATGGGTATTGTACTGACTGTATTTTCTCACTTTGCTCGTTTTGATGTTGTATCTTTAATTACATTTTTATTGCTGGCATCTTCCAAAATTATTGTTTAGGCCTGTCTTGTTATTGTTAATTATCATTAAAACTACTAAAAATAGTTTCTGGTAATTTAAATAAAGCTGAAATAAAATAAAATATAAATATTAGAAATAAAACTTAAAAACTTTGCCTTGCCTTGGCAACTACCTGAAATAAGTTGAAGTACTAAAACTGGTAAAACTAAAACTGAAATAATAATAAACGGAAGCTAAATATAAATATATTTAAGAAAGTGATAACAAAAATTCTTAAATTTAAAATGAAAACTGTAAATATTCAAAATAGGCATAAATACTATAATAATATAAATAATACTAAAATTGCATTGGTTTAGACCACTCTAATGCAAGAATTAGTCATAAACTGATTCCTGTATCTACTTTTGTGTTGATGTAGATGGTGAAGGCGATCCAGGTGTTACGGATCCACCTGCTGGAGCTGGAGAAGGTGAACGAGCTCTGTAAAGACTTCTGCAACCGTTACATCACCTGCCTCAAGACCAAGATGCACAGTGACAATCTGCTACGGAACGACCTGGGCGGCCCGTATTCACCATCGCAGACCAATCTCGGCCTGCAGCAGGTCACTCACAAATACAATCTCCCTAGACCTTCAGTCTGAAGGCTAAAGGTTGTTTCTAACACATAAACACAGTGTCATATGAATGCACACACTCTCACGCCAGTAACATTTACACTTGCACGAACACAAGCTCCTCTCCCGGGGATGCAAAAGGTCACATCTGGCTTGCCCTCGCTGCTCCTGCTGAACTTTGCTGACCTCTGCGTGAGAAGACTTAAAGTACACACTTTTGGACATTTCATCTAGAGCAGTCAGTCGATTGTAATGAAAATTAAAATGCCCATCAAATTACCAAATTAATCAGAATTAATCACATATACATTACCGTTCAAAAGTTTGAGGTAAGTAAGATAGTTAGATTTTACTAAGGATACATTAAATTGATCAAAAGACAGTAACAGTAAAGACATTTCTAATGTTACAAAAGATTTCTTTCAAATAAATGTTGTTCTTTTGAATGTTGTATTCATCATAGAATCCTGAAAAAACTTATCAAATATTTAAATATATATAATTGTGTTAATTGTTATCGGGTTATATATATATATATACAGTATATATATATATTTAACAATTCATTTTTTTTTACTCATACTAAACTAACATTACAACAGGCATAATTAATTGTGGACATTTTTATTGAGTTATTTTTCATATATATATTTAAATAGTTATTTTTTTTAACTATTAATTATTTTTTAATCATACTAAACTAACGTGTTAAATTGGCAGCCTACCAAATTTATTTTCGCAAGAAATTGAAATGTGGACACTAACCAGTGTTTCATCCTCCTCTTATAGGACCTGCTTCAGAACTCATCCCCATCGCTCAGCTCTGTCTCCAGCACGGTAAACCCCTCTGGGATTGTGGTCCCTGCCGGTTCACTGCAACAGAACAACGTTGCCATGACCACTATCAACTCTCAGGTGGTCTCAGGTGAGGAGGCCAATCATCAGTCCCATTTGCTTGCTATAAATTCAGAGATCTCAGCTTTCAGAACAGCTTTCCTTTCCAAATTCGTGACATCTGGTGGAAGCAAATAGGAACTTCCATGTAATGCACATTATCTACATAATCTACATATCTACATTTTCTTTACTAATTTTCTCTCTTTACAGCCGTCTCACGCAGAACAGTACTTTCATATTGTGAATAAAAAACAACTAATTACTTTGAAATCAAGCTAATTAGCAGCAAAACAAGAACTCCTTGTTCTCCTCTTTAGCAGTTAGGAATACCCTTTAGTTTTATTTTGGCGCGGTGAAAGGGAGGTGAAATGGTTTGTTTTTGTGCTGCAGTGTAATTACAGTATGTTTTCAACAGGCAGGGAAAGTCTGTGTTAACCACACTCCTGTGTCTGTGACTGATTCCCACAGGTGGGACGCTGTATCAACCGGTGGCAATGCTTACCTCACAGGGACAGGTGTTGACCCAGGGGTTACCACAGGGAACCATTCAAATCCAAAACAATCAGGTGAGAGCAGCCGCTCGACAGACAACACATGCTCACAGCACTGGATCTTCACAAATATTGAAGCTGTAGAATTCTGTTGAATTATTTCTGGACTACAGCACCATGTCTACCACATTGAACTGCTGCTGTTGCAAAGAAGCAAAAGAAGTTTTCTGACATGCTATTCCATCCACTTTATATTTTCTGTCTATATTAAATATTTAAATATATATATATATTTTTTTTGTACATAAATATTATTTGTTATGCATTTACATGGCTTCAGACACTTATAGTTCTATATATTTTGATGCCTACAAAAAATGATTACTCTTTTTGCCTATTAATTTAGAGCAGCACTGGCTTTTATTCATGAAACACAAGCAGAACAAATTTCTGTGAAATTAATTAATAAATCTGTTCATACATTAATTGCCCCATTAAGAGAATGCAACAATTTATGTAAGAATGGTTTTACATAAGATTATGATTTTTTTTCTCTCGCTCATCTCAATAAGGCCCAAAATGGGGGGCCTTATTGCAAAAATGTTAATAATTTTAATGTATTACAATTATTTAAAATTAATTCTAATTCTAAATTTTAATTTCTGTTACAGTAATTTAATTAATTATTATATAATTATGTTTATTATTAAATAAAAGATGAATTTTCTATGTATTTATGAACATGAATATTATGAATTGCTTTTGTTCCTCTTTCATTACTAGCTTTTGTTTTAGAAACAATTTATTTAAAATGATATAGTAAAAATATATACTTTATTTAAAATGATATATTTGTTCCTCCTTTATTACTTTTTTTTTTAATTGATGAAGTCAAAGTTCAAGCTGATTGGTCTATTTGTTAGCAACCACCCTGAGGTGACATTCCACATCAACACTTGCCGTGTAGTTAAGATCATGATGTTCACTTCAAGTGTAGACATATTTCAAGTTATTTAGGAATTCTAGAACTGTTCGTTTTTATTTTAATGCCGTCAACTATGAGTCAGGTGAGTTGGGGTTTGATAGACAGCTGGAGCCTGTGTGGATACCCAACTTTAGGCCGAGGCGCTTCACCACACGCAGGCTGGGAATAGAGTTCCGCCCGTAGCTACATCTCT